CCCCCCCTGCCGCGCCACCTGCCAGCGCGCCCCCCGCTCACGCAGGGCATCTGAGATTGACAGCCTCCCCTCCCGCGCACGTCCCCGACTCTTGATTTACCCAAAGAGAAGAGCAAGCACAAGCCAGCTGCCTTAATCACCACGGACAGGGCTAAAGGGTGCCCCTGTCACCCATCAGTATCATTTAGGGCTTGGGAAGTGCCCAACTCCCATGGGGAACGCCCGTTAGACCTCCGTGCTCATATCAGTCTTAATTCCATTTGGTCCTTAACACCGTTGTCTGGTTCATGTAGCCGCGCTGTACAGTAACGCCATCTGATGCATCCGATCCCCCGGCACCAGGACGCGGCCATGGCACGGGAAGAACCCTCTGCTCCAAAAACCTGGCTGTTAAGGGGGAACAGCAGCAGCTACAGCCTCTCCGAGAGCGGGGAGATCCAAGCAACTCGCTTCCCAACATCTAGACACAAGGAGGTTGAGGTTTCCCCCCGCCTCTTCGCATCGCAGCCTACAAGTAATCCTCCAGCAGGAAAAATTCCCCACCCCACCCCCCCCACCCCTTCCCTGGAAATTCACAGCCAACCTGCTAATGAGTCTTTGTGAACCTTGTGCCTTCTTACCTCTAATTTTACAGCCTGTTAGGATTTGAGCTCTGTGGACAGGCTCACATTTGGTTTCGAATTATAGGCTGAGTGGCTGTTCTCTCCTATTATTGTGCTGTCAATCTTGTATTAGCACATTATAATATGGTACAGTGAATGCATCTGTTCTGTATATCACAAGTCCTAATTGTCATTTGTTGAATCACTTTGTCTTATATGATTGTTAAGCAATTATTTCATCCAAAGCAGCTTAAACTTTGATTACTGTATAGTGTTTACAGGGATCAAAGTAAAAGCATCAGCTGCCTCAAACATTTTGCTGTCGAAACAGGCACAAGCGTCTGTCCCGCGTGGGTACCGATACACAAGGAGGAACGCGGACTTGATGACCTGCAGGTTCTTGCCAGCTCCAAAGCCCATCCTTCTGCCTAAAGGGGAAGGTTATTTGTCCAGGATGGTTAAATGTCCAGCAAATGTGTAGGTAATGAAACAGATGTGAAGTGACGTTCCTGCCAAGATTGCTCATGGAAAGAGGCTCTCATGGCACATGGCACCAGATGTCCCCATCGGTCCCCTCCGGTGGGGTAAGGGCCCATGGGGGAATAACACCCCACGCTTCTCCAGTGCTTTCCATCAAGGATGCTCTCCTGCTCCCCAAGAGATGTGGAAAGTAAAGGAGCGCTTTGCTCAGAGGTGCAGGACGGGGATTGCATCCCAAACCAGCTCCACCATGCAAACCTCCACCAGGGCAGCAGTGTTCGCATGGTCCTGTCCAGGAGCGGGTCAGCAGAGGACAGGGCTGATGCAGTGGGCGTTCGCATGGTCCGCAGAGCGGGTCAGCAGAGGACAGGGCTGATGCAGTGCAGAAGAGCCTGCAGCACACAGATTTCAATATTTTCTTTTCTTTTTTTTTTTTTTTGCTTTAACACCCCACACTGAAGCCCTCAAAGAGGAACTTTGGTTGCTCACACCAACCCCTCTACTCAGAAGCCATGTCAAAGCCGGGAGGGTCCCAGGCACCGGGGAGCCACAGGGCTGGCAGCCCTCTGAAGTTGGGGGTGCTGGTATGCCACAGCAAGGTCCCAGGGCATGGGAACCCAAACCAGCATCGGCTCCAGCAGGGCAAAAGGGAGGGGTTCATCACCAGGGGCTTGGGCTAATCCCCATAAAATCTGGCTGACAGCATCGGGAAGGAATGTTGGGCCATTGTTTTTGTCTTAAGTAGCCCAGACAGGATTGAGAGAAAAACATGCTGGTGGCTCCTTAACCCCAGACCATTCCATGAGCCAGCGAGGATACGCAAACTGTCAGGAATCTTCTGCTTAAAACCATCTTCTTTAATGAGACTTGAATTTAACCTGAGCACCGCTCAGAAGCCCCCTCTTCGCCAGCTGCAAATCACTGCCTGACACAACTAGAGCACACCCCAATTAGGACATTAAGCAGACCTTCTCCTCCTTTTGTTAAAAGCTAATGAATTTCCTCATACAAGTAATTTCGCAAATAATGGGCCCCAGACCCTAGAGCACAGAAACCTTTATAAATCAGGACTGTTCCCAACCCAGCCACCAAGCGCTCACAAAAGGAGGAGAGTCAGGGTGAAGGCTGGGACATAACCGCCAAGTGGACTTCACCATGGACCCCAGGCATAACCCAAGCTCCTGGGAGAGGCTCATCCACCCCAGGGAAGGTTGCAATCCCCGGTGCCATGGCAGGGCATCACCAGACCATGGCTCTCCAGCCCCAGAGCAGCACCCCAGAGTGCTGGTTAAAGGTTTAAGGCACAATGAGCCCATGGAGCTGCTGCTGTATTAAGCCTGATGCAGCCCCTGAGGGCATCATCCCATGGTTCGCCTGGCTGGGGGGGAGGCTTTTCCAGCTGCCTCTTCAGCTCATTCTGCCATGGAATTGGTCTTAAATGAAGTACACCAAAAAAGTATAACTCTCAAAAGGGCAGAAAAAAGGTGGAGATCTGTACAGCTGCAAAAATAAGTTCTAGCTCATGGAAGTGCAACTCAGACTGGTCCAGACCAGGAGAAGGTTCTTGCAAAAACAACTTGAGTTTAAAAAAAAAAGCTTAGTTTGGGGTAGGACCCCTGAGAAAAGCACCAAGTTCCTGAGCCATCCGGCCCCTCAGCCAGAGAACAAGCCCTACCCCTTCCCTGCACCCTAAAGGAGGAACAGCACAGCCCAAAGCAACCTCTAAGGAAGTCGTCAAACCCTGCAATGAAAACAAATCTGGAAGCGCAGGTAAAAGGTAGTGCCGTAAACCGCAGCTTGAGAGCATCACAGCGGGTAAATTGCTTTTTAACAAGCAGACAAGTTCTATCAATAGCATCTACCGTATGTTTTTATAAAGTGCAGAAATATGTTTTTAAAAGGCCAGTAAATAAAGTTCCTATTGATTTGATCTCAAGTGTAATCTGTTTTTCTGTCTGCCACCAACAGTGGTAATAAAACAGAATCATGTAACACGGCGTTTCAGCTAATGCGACTATACATCATGGCAGGGGCTGCGTGCTCGCCGGCCATCTATCATTTTCTATTGGGATTGCTTAGCTGCAGAATTTATAAACTTGCCCCAAATTGATGCAACGTCCAATTTTCTTTTCCAATTTATTTTTGGTTGAGCAAAGCAATATTGAGGCAGGACAAGGAGGGAGCATTTCCCATCTATCCAGATGTTCTCCACTCCTGCTTCTTCCTCGGCCTGGGAAAGGGCCTGGCAGCAGCTCCTCTGCCTGGGTTTTTCAGGAAGGTGCCGATGGATGCTTTAATGGCCACATTTAGCGTTTGCTCCGTGCCACATCTTTGCAGCGGTACCCAAAGGCTGCGTGGGATGCCTGCAGAGCAAGTTATCCCATGCCCGGAGGGGTCTCCCAGCATGGACCGAGCATCCTCAGCATCACAGGGCTGCATCTCACACCCACCCAGACCACCACAACACCAGGCTGGACCAACTGGCTGCTCTGCTCCAGCACAGGGCCGTGGGACAGACACCTCCCACATTGCCCAAGCCACACACATGGCAGGTTTGCACCTGGGCCCAGCAGTTGAAGGGTTTCCAGGGTACCCAAACCATCAGTCACCAGCCTCCTATGTCTGGCAATGCATCTTGTTCCTTTGCCCGAGCGTGCTGCTCGCAGAGTTAGCAGCCAGACACAATGGCTGCGTTAGTCACACCAAAAAAGTCAAAGATGGGTCTTTTGGGAGGTAAAAGTGATGTTTGATGAAGCTGGGCTGCAGTGCCCCAGTGTCCAAACTGTGCATGCATCAGTAGATGTAAAAGCAGCCCCTATAAGCACACCCAAGATGCATTAAAATCCCCCTAGACGCCTACCAAAGCTCAGCTTTGCAAGGTGCCACCCCACGTTGAGGTCCCTCACCCACAAACATTGACCTCACCTTCACCAGGGAGCAGCCGGGCTGCGAGCAGAGCCCCTTGGCGCAGGCAGGGTGAAACCTGGCCCCCACCAGGCCCGTTACCCATATCTGGGACAGGGATGGGAAGCGTCCCATCTTCCCCCCTCCAAAACCTGATAAATATTTCCAGAGAGAAAAACAAACACCCTGCATTTGGCTTTTTTGGTGGTTGTTTTTCTTGAAGAGACAAAGTGTTCCACAGAAAGCAGACACTTCCTACACAAGTTTTCATACTCAAACCCCGAGTTTTTCTGCCACCGATTTTGATGGAAAAAGTGTAGCCAGCCCTTTCCCCAGCCCCTTCTCACCACTCCAGCCACAAAATCACTGAGCCCCGGCAGGGCCGAGCACCCCGCCGTGCTGAGAAGCATCACGTGGAGATGGAGCTAACTTCAGCAAAGGGAGGTTTCCCATTCTCACTTGGGAATAGAAGAAAAAAAATAATCAAGTTTCCCAACCTTAGAAATCCCATCATAAGCCATAAAAAGCAACCCCATTGCCTGTGCACGCCTCGGCACAGGATGAGGCAAGTCTTGTCCCACTCACTTCACGATTTTATTTTGGGGGAAAAAAAAAGAATGTTATCCCAAAGCATCCTTACAGGATCAGGTGTAAGAAAAATCTATATATTCCTATAGAGAAAGCCTGAAGCAATTCAGAGTCAGTTCCCTGCAACCAATTTAAGGCCATCCAGCCCCTTGCCCAAAATTACCCACCCCAGTTGGCACCCTGCAGAAGCTGGAGGGCTCCTGGCTGTGCGGAGCTGGGGACGCATTTCTGGCTAAGGCCAGAGGCGAGAATAAATGCAAACCCAGGGAAGCAGCAGGGCCTGTGTCCTCAGATGCCGCCTGAGCGCAAGATGTGCTGAGTTGTCTTGGAAGGAAACGGTGCCAAATCCGCCAGCGGAGACGAGCCATCAGCCAGCCCCGATGCCAGCGGGAGCCGCCGGCCCTCTGCAACCGGCTCCCCGGGGATGTGCGCGCCCCGTGCTGCCACAGCTGGCATCCCATCCCATCCCAAAATAAACATGCTCCAGTGACACACAGCCTGCTTCCAAGCCAGTATCTGCCTGGCACGGCCGGGCAAGGCTCTGCTTATCCCCCAAATCCTCCCCACAACCGGCAGCATCATTTATTGATCAGAGCAGCATCCACCTGCGGCACCGCCGCCGAGTCCCTTCCCCTCTCTCCCTGCCGTAGTTTGCTTTCCAGGACAAAAATAAAAAAAGAAAAACAACTGCCTACACCTCTAGGAAACTTCAAACTACTGGAAAGCAACGCACGCGTGATGGATGGCTTCACATCCAGCATCCCCTGCCAGGGAGGATTATTTTTTGGAAGAATCAGGCATCTTTAAGGGAAAGTTATACTTCAAACCATGCGATCAACAGGAGGAAGAGACTTTCCAGACGGCAATGAAGCAGCCAGAAAAACTGATTCTTAACACTCCAAGGTAAAGCCAAGAGGCACAAGAGCTGAGTTTCTCCCTTATCAGCTACAGCTGAAGCACCCACAGCTGCTGGGGCTGGTGGTGATGGGGGAACAGCCCAGGGTGCTGGTTATCAGGGTGCTGGTTATCAGGGTGCTGGTTATCAGGGTGCTGGGGATTTGGGGACAAGGTCTCCTCTGCAAGCTGATGCCCACGCACCCTCCAACCAGCGTGGTCCCCAAGCTGGGTGGGCACTGTGGGACACTGGGGGGGTGCAGGATGCCACCCCAACACCCAAAGACCCCGCAGAGCACTTGTTGTCCTCCTCCTCCCCCCCTCCCCTCCCCAGGGCACCCCCAGCACGGGGGCAGCCCCCGCGTTACCCACCCTGCAGCCCCCATTTAACCGGTTGATTACTTTAACCGGTTGATTACCCCGGTTTCTCCAGGCAGGCACCAGCGCGGGATGCAAAAACCCAGCCAAAGCACGTGTGTTTGCTTTAAAAAGTTTACAAACAATCCTGAAACATGGCCACCACATCACCGAAACACAAGATCAAGTTCACTTACAGCTCGGCCTCAAAGCAAAACCCCAAAGCAATAGGGAAACATGGGACAAGGCTTTGGAAGTCACCCCAATTTCAGGTACAAGTTGAACAAGCACAACCCAAGCGGCCAACAGCGCTTTGGCTACGGGTGACAGAGGGCAAATAGCTCCTGGGCCACCCCCAGCACCCAAAGCAGAGGCGCTGGGTGCCCCCGCATTGCCCAGCTCCCAGCCAGGGTGCCACAACCAGGCTCAAAGTACAAGCGCACGCGTGTCTCAGCAACCCTCCCCAATGAATTCCTCCCCCCCGTCACCCGGCTCCACCTTTAATTAACAGGGAGAAGCTGCCCACGAGCCAGGACTCACCTTCCCAGCCTGGGGGTACCGAACCCGGGGGCTGCCCCACTCCCTGCTGATCCGCCAGCGGTACTGGTGGCACTTGGGGATGTACGTGCAGCCCACGTCACCCAGCTCCGGGTAGATAATTTCTAAATCCCCTCTGGGGGGGAAAGAGGGAGAGAAGAACACACAGGGTGAGACGGCATCACTTCCCAGTCGGGATAGGGAGGGGAGATGCAGGATCCATCCTGCTGTCACCAAAGGTGCTGGGCACCTTGTGCACCAGGAGAAGCATCCTCCCATGCTGTAACATAACCATGGGGTCTGCTCCCTCTTCCCCAGCAGCAGCAAGACTTTAAGCATTCATTATGGCTCAACGCACCTTAGATTTTTAAAAACTATGGAAAATACTGGGAACAAAATCACGGCCCACAGGGATTAAGCCAAGGCTCAAAGATGGAGAGCAGGAGAGCCGGGCTACCCTTGCTCCCCCTTGGCCTCAGACAAGCTGTTTGGACTCCAAATCCCCTTTTCCCACCTACAATATGAAGGCAGGGACAGGTCTCCGCTGTGTTTTGAGCACAAATAGTGCAAGAACGGGGCAGATAGCCCCAGCTTCTCCATGAAGTGCTTTCCCCTTCTGCCTTATCCAACAGAGGAAGGGGCCACCAGAGCAAGCTCTCCGGTCATGGCAGCGTGTGGGTAGCAAGTCTCAAGGTCACCCTGACCGGTGTGACCCTCAAATCCTGCAGCTCTGGAGGCTGCTGAGCAAACACCCGTGGCAGCACGGGGCTGGCACAGAGGAAGCCTGAGGTTCAAAGCAAGGTGCTTTTACTCGTGGTTTGCGTGAGGAAGCTGGGGCCAAGTGAAGTCTCCACTTGCCTTCAACTAGAAGCCGAACTTGCTCATATTTAGAGAGCATTTTGGTTAAGTGAAAAGTAGCAAAAAGGATGTTTTTGATGCAGAAGCTCCCAGTAATGTGGGATACCAAGAACCACCCCCCCCCAAGGCACAGGCATGCTGCTGCTCTCCCAGCCCTGCCTCCCAGCTGCAGCAGCCCACAGGCAGCAAGGGTTTCAGCCAAGGACCATCAGTACCAAGCCACTCGATGAAGGGGTGCATTCAGCTGGGGGCCCCAGCTGGTGCAGGAGCCTGTCTGCAGCTCTAGCAGCTCCCCAGGCTTCCTCCTCTTCCCATGCCCACACCTCAAGCATTAACATCTCGGCAGGACAGGCTTTGAGGTCTGAGGGATGACCTGATCTCACACTTTCCTTCCCCCAAAGTAGCCTCCTTCCTCTGAAACTTTCTGCAGAAAAACACTTGCCGTCCCTGCTGCTGTAAGTTGCTTTAAAAGCCACTGCAAAAGGGACCAAGGGACAACTCGAGGTGACCAGAGACACTAAGATCTCAGCTGGCATAAAACAAGAGCTGCACAGTGTGGCGGGCACTGCTCTGCTTTGCTCCGGCCCAGATTCCTGGCAAAAGGAAGAAAGCAGCCCATATTTATAGCCCTGGCAAAGGGGATACTGGAATTAACTGTCCCAGGAGGTGACATGCAAGGGCAGCGCCTGACCAGATGCCCAGGGCTGGCGCAGTTTGGGAAAGGAGGCAACAGGGAGTCGCTCACCTGCAGAACTCGCTGTCCGCCCTGCTGAGCCTCTGGAAGATGCAGGTCCGCGAAGGCTCATCCGCCCAGGGGGGCTGCTCCCCTGGGGCAGCAGTGCCAAGCAGGCCAGCAGCCAGCAACACAGCCCCCAGCAGCTTCATCCTGCCCTGTGGGGACCAAGGACCAGAGATGGTCAGTGTGCCAGGGCCCAGCACTGTCCCCCCCAGTACCTGCTAGCAGCCACAGCATCCCCACCACCATGCTCCGGCTCAGTCCCCCCAGGAACCAGCTCCAGGCAAAGCACACCCACCCTCACACATCTTTTTTATTTTTTCCCCCCCACACTTCCACATCATTCATCCCAAATATGCCAGGAACCAACTGTTTTTCCTGCTGCTGCTCCATGCAAGGAAACACTGAGCCCCCAGCAGGCTCACAGCAAGACCCCATGTCTTAGAGGGCCCGATTCTGCCCACCTACAAGAGGGCACATTGCCAGCCTCCTGCACAGCACCGAGTTGTGCACATACAACCCCACAGGCTGGGCAACCCAGCACAGCGGTGGTCCCCTCCACGGTGACACCATAGAATCATAGAATCACTTTGGTTGCAAAAGCCCTTTAAGATCATTGAGTCCAACCTTTAACATAACCCTGCCATCCCACCACTAAACCCTGGCCCTAAGCACCTCATTGATCCTTCTTTTAAATCCCTCCAGGCAGCACTGAGAGGGGACAGAGTCCCTGCCACCAGGTGATGGCCCCACCGCTCTCCCTGGGACTAACATGATGGAAAAGATGAAAAATCGGTATCAGGCTTGGCCGTGGTCTAACCAAGCCCATTACTGATGGATACATGACCAGCTATGACACCGGCCAACACATCCCTGACCCCAGGCAGAGCACCTGGAGGGGAGCAGGACAAGGGTTCACCCTGAACCCAGGAACCCCCTCCAGAGCCAGGGCAGAGCTTTCCCCACATCAGCATAGCCATAGCTGCCCATTTTTAAGTCAGTACAAAGCACCAGCCAAGCCCCAAGGATGACGTTTATGTACCCCCACCCCTGCCAAGCCCAACACCAGCCCTCACCCCGAGGTGCCTACAGCAGCCCAATGCAGCCGGTGGCCAGGGCCACCAGGGCTGGGTGGCACTTACCCAGTCCCAGGAATGGGCAAGCAGCTCCAAGGCAGAGCCTGGAGGTTTTGAGGTTGCCACGGAGATGGTTTCCCTGGAAGGGAGGGAAGAGGGGACTGGGAAATGAAACACAGCCCAGGGAAGGGGCAGCTCATCCCCTAAAAGAGCATGAAAACAGGCAACAGGTTCTCATCCCCCCCATCCCACAGCAACCTTCTTCAACTGACC